CATAATGAGTTCGAAAGGCCGTTTTTTGAAATGTCCTCTGCTCGTACCCTCAACTGATGGTATCCTGATCTCAGATCAATCTTAGAGAAAACCGATGCTCCGACTAATTGGTCCAATAAGTCATCAATTCTAGGCAACGGGTACTTGTTCTTGATTGTGACCTTGTTTAGTTGTCGGTAGTCGATACACAACCTCAAGCTACCATCTTTCTTTCTCACAAACAAAACCGGAGATCCCCACGGTGACACACTTGGTCGGATAAATCCCTTTTCTAGCAATTCTTCTAGTTGCTTTTTCAACTCGACCAATTCTGAAGGAGACATTCTATAGGGAGCCTTGGAGATTGGGGTGGTTCCCAGAATCAACTCTATGGAGAACTCCACTTCTCGCTCTGGAGGTAGTCCTGCAACCTCGTCCGAAAACACTTCGGGGTAGTCCCTCACCACAGCTATCTGTTCAATTCCTCTTGCCTCATCCTCACTAATTGAAAAGAAGACAATGAAGGCCTGGCACCCTTTCCTCACCGCCTTCTCTACTTGAGCAGCTGACAACAAAACCGGACCACTTGACATTTCAGCACATAAGGCACCTACCGGAATTGTCACCAACCTCCTTTTACAATCAAGGATTGCTCCATTGGCCATCAACCAGTTCATGCCAATAATCACATCGATACCTTTCAAAGGTAGACAGAACAAATCTATTATAGAATCTCGACTCTCAAACTGAAGTGCAAGCTCTAGACACGCTCTTCCAGTTACAACAGTGACTCCAATAGGAGTAGACACTCTTAAGTCATAAGGTAGCTCAACCACAGGCAAGCTCAACTTCTGAGCACAGTCCACAGAAATAAAGGAGTGCGTAGCACCCGAGTCAAATAAAGCAGAAATAACACGTCCCTCAAGTAGAATGTTACCTCGAATCAAGTTCGGAGATGCAGAAGCCTCCTCATTTGTCATCGCATAGACACGTCCTGGCACCGTAGAACGACCAGCTTGAGGTGTCGGCTGACTCTCTAGACAGTTCCTGGCAATATGTCCCCACCGGTGGTATCGAAAGCACTCCCAGCATTGCCCCGCATGCCTACCCCCACATCTAGGGCACGGTCCAGTAACACTCGGGGTGGTCACTGAAGAATCTCGACGGGAGCCCTGTCCCCCGCCAGTCTGATTGTTTGGATTCTGGCGCCTTTGCATAAAGCCCCTCTGAGCATTCACCCTCTGATTTTGCCCTTGATTCCTGTTTCTCCCTGAGCTACTCGAGCTCCCGGAGCTATATTGACTCCTCTTCCCCACTCCTCCTGTAGGACCAGGATAACGGGCCGCTCTAGCTTGATTCTCAGCCCTCCTTGCCTCTACCACCTCTCTTGTCCTTCTAGCCGCAACCCGCAGCTTCACACACATCTCCTCAAAGGTTTTGACCTCTAACAAGGCCAATTGCTGTTTCAACTCCGGCCTTGCACGGTTCATCAATTGTTGAGCTAACCAGAGTGAATGATCTTCCGTCTGCCTTGGCACATACTTTGCCAAATCTATAAACCTTGTGATAAATTGGTCCTCATGCATCTCGCCCTGCTTCAAAGAATAGAATAGGAATTGCTTTTCCATTCGCAACTCCTTTGGAAAGAAGTGATCATAAAACATCCGCTTGAAAGTATCCCAATCCAGCTGAGATATATCAGAGGGTCTCGCACTATCCCACCAATGTCTTGCTTGCTCCACAAGATAGGTGACCGCCACTTGTACCTTGAGCGGGGAAAGACAAGGAACAGCAGTAAAGATTGTCTCCATCCGCTCAATCCACTTTTCTGCATCTGATGGTTCCAAACTTCCTTTGAACTAGGGAGGATCATGACGATGCACCTCTCTCCATACCTTAGTGATATCATTCAGCAGCGGAGGGTAAATCACTCCCTCTGAAGTGCCTCCCCCCTGACTATCAGCTTGATACTCCTCCCTCTGAGGTAAATCTCCAGCTCGATCACCACTCCTAACCCCTCTTTCTCCAACTCCTTGTGCTTCTATAGTCACCTCATTCTCTCGGTCCTCTTGATTGACCTACTCTTGGTGCTTCCTCGTGAAGTCTTCTTCAAACTTCCTCAACCTTTCATCCACCACCGCCGTCATCATCTCCCTCATTTGTCTCAGAAAAGCCTCATTCTCTTGAGGCAGTCCATTACCGGCTGGATCTGTTTGACGTGTCCGTACCATCCTTCCTCTCCCCAACTAAGGATGGAAACCCTCATTAGTAAAGAAAGAAAGGAAACACAAAACAAACAGGAAAGGTATGTATGAAGTATGTATATTGCCACTAGGAAAAGAAACAATTTCAAAGAAACAAACCGGCTCTGAATACCAATTTGTAAAACCCTTAACCTTAAAACGTTATAACTCGTCATAAGACCACTACTATGGTAGAAAAAGAAAGATGTTACAACAACTACCATAGTAGAAAGAAATTGCGTAATTTTAGAAAAATTAACATTTAAAACTTGGTTCCATCTCAAACGCAGTTGCATGCAACTATCATCATTCAATCGCAATCACTGGGCCTCCGAGCCTCCGGCTCGGGTAACAAAAGACAACAAAATTAGCCCATCCAAATGGTTTCCAACCATGTAAATCCAAGTTCCATAATCAGTGAAAAGGGGCCTCCGGCCCAATTAAAATAAGAAGAAGATACACTTCCTCCAGTTTACAAATAAACCGGGCAATCAAAATAGTTTAAAAGGACCCTAAACGCTGCAATATACAACTAGCCATACATCAACAAAGGCTAGAGGCCTAAAGCTAACCAAGCTCAAGCCTCTGCGTCTCTTCCCGAAGGCGCACGCCTAGAACCTTCACCTGAAAATATTGTAAACCACGGGGTGAGACAAAGTCCCAGTAACCAACCTTTCCAATACTAGGTACTACTAAATAGGTGCTCGTGAGGTGTCAAGTGGGGCAGTTCACAAATCATATATATATTAATAGCCACAACAATTCATGCAAGTGCAATGATGCAATCCCATCAATCAAATCCCTCACTTTGGGGGATTTTCAGGAGCCGAAGCCGGCCTATCCCTCACTATGGGGGACGTAAGGAGCCATAAAAGGCCTATCCCTCACTCTAGGGGACGTAGGGAGCCAAAAGGCCTATCCCTCACTATGGGGGACGTACTAAGCCAACCATCATGCATTAATGGAGGCCTTACCACGTGGTAGTAACAGACAAGACTCTCACCAATTCCCAATTAATGCATCATGCTCAAATCATAAGCAAAGAGTAACAATCATTTCACAATTAACCTCATTCAGTGGCATATCTTTCACAATTTCAAGATTCATTCATCATAAATCAAAACCCCACAAGACGGTTTTCCCTTTTTATATACAACATATAGTTTGAACACAATTACTATTTGGAGCACAAAACACAAATCTACTCACAATACCACAGAAGCAAGTACTAAGGATTGGAAAGTGGTTACCTCTCGCCTGAGCAAGGAATAACAATCAACAATGTGGCCCCGTGCACCACCAAGACTCACAACCGGTCTACACAAGCACACAAACATACAACCAATATATATTAGCTTTCAAACTAATAATGTGGTCAAAACAACACTTGGGGACACAAAATTCCTATCTTCCATCAAAAATCTACCCAACTCAAAGGGTATAACTATCAAAACAACACTCCAAAGTCCTCAAAGTCTATTAAAACATCAAGTCTCCTTCCAAGCATCAATTAGAGTTCAAACCTCGAGGACCCACTATAGGAATTCAACCTCCAACATCTCATTTGAGCAATTAAGGTTCCAACAACAAATCTAAACCGATTAAACATCCAATTTAACCCTCCTTAACGTAACCCAATTCACAAAACTCAAAATCAATCTCTACATTATCATCCTCAATCCCAAATCATCCAATTCCATAAACCCTAGCTCCAAAAATTTAAGATTCTTTAAATCCAAGGAAACTACACCGATTAAACACTTAAACTAACCCAATGCAATCAATTAAACTCAAAACAATCGGTCAAAAACCTCAGTTCCAACACAACCTAGAAAATCCTAGGGTTTCACCATAATTCCTTGTAGATTCCAAGAAATCCCAAGAAAGGAAGAAGATTAGAGGTTAAAATCACTTACTTGAGGTAATGGATCCTTAGAAATGCCTTTCCCAAGCCTCAACAACAAAACCCTAGCAGAGCTCCTCTCTCCTCCTCAGATTTTCTTATTTTTCGCACGCTGACTGCTCTCGCGAATATATAGATTCGCGACCTTTCGCCGCGGCGAACTAATCCCGAGAGGGATTACTCGCCTGAAAACCTGACTTCGCTGCGGCGAACTCCCATCTTCGCCGCGGCGAAAGCTTCCCGAGAGGAAACTCTCGCTCGCCCAGAAGAACTTCGCCGCGGCGTGCCCTTACCTTCGCCGCGGCGAAACCTTCCCGAAAGGGAAGCCTCGCTCACCTGAACAACTTTGCCGCAGTGTCCCCTAGACTTCGCCGCGGCCAAACCTTCCCGAGAAGACACTCCCCTCTGAAACTCCCGGTGCGCCGCGACGAACATACCCTGAGAGGGGTACGTTCACCTATGCCTCCAACCAACCTCAAATCCAACCCAAACACCAAGATCAAGATTAAATCACTAATCTATCCTCAAAATCAACCCAAAAGAGGCCATTAAAACCCGATAAAACTCAGGATGTTACAGTGTGCATGCGTTAGAGTTTTTGCTGTGGTTTTGGGAGATGGATATTAAGAGGAAGGTCATATCTGAAGCTGCGATGCTTATGGAAGTGAAGGAGGAAGATCAGTGGATCGACCTAATTAGAGACTCAGAAAGCATCGTGTTGATGATTGCGGAATGGCTGATGGCGAGATTTGGACAGATACAGAGCGAATCGAAGATGGAAGATGCAGAAATCTACTATGGCCGAAAGAGGTTAGGGAATGGAGTGATCTATGAGTTGCTGGCAGATTTGGTGTTTCCTTATAATAGAAATGTCGTTATTCGGCACCTTCGAGGAGGCTGAAAATCGAAAACAGCTGATGAGAGGTGGAGGCTTGGGAAGTGAAACTGTCGAAAGCTTTGGATCTCGATTAACTCTTCGAATATATCTATTCAGATCTATGAGAGATGGATTGAAGAATCTCAGGGTAAAACCAACTTTGCAGTGCCTTGCTGTAAACATGGTCGAATGGAATCCTTTGTCTTGGATTTACAAGGTAAAAAGCTCTGGTTCTCTTTTTTCTATTAGCCCTATTGTAGTCTTCATGGGGCTAAATGGTCTGATTGATGGATATGGAATAGGTGCTATGCTGTTTGTTTTGCTTTTTGCTTCATGGAGTACCTGGAATATGAGATATATGTGCGACTATGTAAGGAAGGATCTGGTTATATACAATTTTCACTGGTTTGAATCTCTGGCTTTACTTCGTCTAGTGCTTACTGCAGTGTTCTCAAAGGTTAAATGGGGCTTTAGCTTTTTCTTCTCTCAAGATAGGGTTGCCATTGATAGAGGTGGTGTTTTTTGGGGTTCAACTATGTTTCCTGCAGTTAGCTTTGTTGAAGTTGTGTAGTTTTGGAAATTTAGTGGCAAGTTAAGCTTCTTTGTGGCATTCAGAAGAGATATACTAAAAATTAAGGATGATGCACGTTGGGTGCCGCCTGGATGTCTTTATTATTTGTTTGATTCTAAGAAACAAGTGAGGGTAATTGTTAGGGCTGATGGTTCTGAAATGAGAGTAGGGGATAGGTTTCCTGTGGCTTTGATGATGATGGGTTACTGGTCGACTGGAAATCAAGAGGATAAAAAGCTCCTAGTTCTTCTCTTTTGTTATGCTCAGCTAAGCTGTGATTGGTGGAGCTTCTTTCTTGAGCACATATCTGTTCTGGAAATTGTTGCTCTGTATCGTAACTTAGCTTCTTTGATTAAGCTAAGGAGTTGGTTAATGGGTTTGTGGCCTTTATGGGTTTTATGCCCCCCAAACCCAGTTTCTCTTTTGCTTTGTTCTTGGCCCCTCTTGATGGATATTTACCTAGTGCTCATCTTCTCTGCTGCCATGCTTATCTTCTCTACTGTCGCGGAAAAGTTCCAGAGATACTTTGGCGTCAGAAGTTTGCTGTTTTGCTTTTTCTCTTTAGTTGTTGTTTTGGTGTTGGAAGAGTTGTTTTCTAGTTTATGTTCTTTGTTTTCTCTGTTTTTGCGTTTTGTTTTTCTGGGAACTTTGAGGTGTACTAGTTTAATTTGTTAATACAACGTACTTTCTGACCAAAAAAAGAAGAAGAAGAATAATGTGAACTGTTCAAATATTAAAATGTTTTACATAAACGTTGAGTCCAAGGCAAGTGGCTCAAGTCATCCAGTGGCTTATGCTCATATATATTATATTACTAAAATTAAGCTACATATATGATTATAATTTTACGTATTTAATATGTTTTTAAGTATGTGTTTGTGTGCGTATAGGTTAAAACCGATATCTAAATTATAAAAAGCATATTTAAAAAATATTTCACTGAAAAGAGCACTGAAAATGAATATTTAAATAATGATATGGCGAATGACTTAATGATAATTATATGGCGAATGACTTAGTGTCTGTTTGGCAAGGCGTTTGTAGAGCTTAAAAGGAGCTTATTGGTGTCATAAGCTCGATCTGTAATTTGTCCCTGTTTGGATAAGCTTTTAGTTTATTTAGCTTATAAGTCAAAAGCCGGTGAAAAGCATGAGCTGGGAAGAGAAGCTTATAACTTATGGAATCGTGCGTTTGCTTTAGTAAAAGGTCCTGGAAACATTTATTGCGAATTTAATACCAAATCTGCCTTCTGGCTCTTCTCCCTCATACGTTGATTTTGTGCATTTTCAAATTTTTTAATATAACACAATTTTCTACAAAGTTATCATATGATAAATAACTTTTTTTATTAACGGTTTTTTTAATATTTTACCATATGTAAATGTAATATACACACACATATGTGAACATATGTATTACTCCCTCCTATTCATATTGTAAATTAATTTAAATTTATTGTATTATGTAAAATTATTTTTTTAATCATGTTTTATTATTTATTAAAATTCATACTCATTTTGGTCATCTTACAACCAAACTTACTTTTACTTAACCATAATCCAAACAACCTTTTATTAATCTCACTTTTGTAAACTAACTTTTCTAAACTCTAATCCAAACACAATTCAGCTTATCCAATTCAGCTTTTACCCAACTTCACTTTTCTATAAACCAAATTCACGATAAACTGTTTTTTCAATCGCTATTCCAAACGGACCCTTGATGAGTTGGAAACCTTCTTTATGATCGATGAATGGGCTTATTTTTAGCTTTTGGGTTACGCCGGATGCTCTTCTCCTTCCTTTCCTTCTGGTCTTATCTCTCTTCCAAGGCCGGTCCTCATCTTCTCTCTCTCTTATTTCAGAAGTTCAACTTTTTTCCGCATTGGATGGAAAATCAATGCATCTAGCTTCACTCCTGTTGCCTAATATATAGTTTAGGGAACATATATAAGAATTCTAATTTAAGCAGCAAAACTCTGGCTCCAGATTCTCAGAATGCCTATGCAAAATCTATTGCTGACTTCTTAAGTATATAGATCTCAATCGCCAAAACCTAACCTTATTCGCTGGCATTGCCTGGGACGATGGTTTCCGATAAATCGTCTGAAATTCTATTCATTTGCTGTTGCATTAGTGTCATTCGCTCCATATTTAGGAAGTTACCTAGAGAAAATTAAAAAGACGAAGAGGGAGGTAATCAATCTGAGAAAGAAAGACAAGAAGGAAGCTAGAAACCCTGCAAGAAGCTAAGCGAGCTTCTTCTTGCCCTCGGAATATCTGGAAGCGGTTTTCGAACCAAGCACAGAGCAAATGACAGATAAGAATTGGCCTTTCTTGCAGAGATGGGGCAGAGAAAGAGGAGAAGATCAGAAAGCAAGGAAGAAGATAATGATTTGGCATGCCAAGATAGTGAGCCAGCATCTGTTTGGAAAAAGAAAAAATAGCCCAATCATGTAAAAAATTGCCAACTCATTAAATTCTTGGCTACATAATCATTTTTAACACAGTAAGTTAAGCTACGTCAACCAACAGAGGCTGTGACCAAATTTGGCTGAAACTAGGCACTTCACAAAAAATAAACTTTAGGGACCTTAACCAAATTTGATCGAGACTATAAGGACTTGGGACATAGTCTTCCCCTCGAGGATTTAAGCGGCTTAATATCAGAATCCACACAGATAAAGAAGAGGGAACAAAACACTATAAATGATTCCTTCTTGCAGCTCCTTTCTCCCTTCTGTCGACAGCCGCCTCTGCACCTCTCGTTCTCGCCTGAAGAAGACGAAGGCGACCGAAACAGAACGGATGGGGCTCCCCAGCTGGTTCCAATGCACAAACGCGTCAACTCGTTTTAGAAGATGAAGAAGATGAACGGCGTGATGTTCCCTCTTGCCTTCGTCCTCAGGAAGCAATCGCAAATTAAAGTTGTTTATTAAGATGTGTTGCGTTGGCCATAAACTATACTCCGTTCTCAGGTTGTCATTATACAACAGATCATTCATTAGAAACTTGCCCGAACAGGTTGTTCTAAATATTTAGCGATTCAAAAGTTATCAAAATGGTTATTAAAAACAGAGCATGACACACCGGAGATCCTTTTGACTAACGGGGGTGTATCTTTGTTCTATACTGTTCTCAATTCATGAAAGAAACATATTATTAATTAATAAATGTCAAACAAAGAGGAGGGAAAAGCCAATTATGATAAAAACAACATCACATTATCCCAAAATATCATCATACGACAAACGTAATGTGTAGCAAAAACACAACTCAGAGTCTTGCAACTTCATAATACAAATGATGTGCCATAATAAGTTTAAGACTTGATGAAAATCTAAACTGGTGGCCTCCTGATTGTGGGGACATTGCCTCTTACGGTTCTCCTCCGTGGGTCATACAAATATGAACCCATATTTTCACCCATTTCTGCTATTTTCTTGAGGTTAAAGCATATTAATAGCACCATTAACCAGACAATGTAGACAAGTGGTTGGAGAAAGCCGTGAACCAACATGGATATTAGTGCAGTATAAGCCAAACTTCCTGATATAAAAGCTGCCTTCACAGAGCGATTCAGAGAAGCAGCAGCCATTGGGGTGTAAATCTGACATTTGAGATGGAATCCAAATGCAAAGCAATAGAGAAGTGAGCATATAATAAAAATCGATATGCTTGCAGGATGCTCATCTAAAGGCGATGAATTGAAGAAGTGCATTTGAACAATCTCTCTTGTCTCTGGAATTAGAAACGCAAATATAGCATGCCAAGATGTTGATCTGCGCGAACATCAAACTAATTAGAAATGTCATAATGGCATCATCAAATAAAATAACTATTCTAGTACGTTTTTGAGTGCACATGTCAAATATTTAAATAATAAAGGCACTGAGAAAATTAAACCACAGTTATGAATTGAAAACCCCCCGCCCCCCAAAACAAAATGGCGTATGCATTAAATCTGTTAAAATAACAAGTGATGGCGGGGTTCAGGCGGACTGGAGGGACGATTTGGTGGTGGGCCCGAAACTGGAGATCTTTTGCTGATGGATCCCGTTGGGAGCCTGTCAGCGCACGAGGGGACTACGGTCTCTATAGCCATTTATTTTCTTAAAAAACTGTATACCACAAATTATTTTGGACGGCTTTTAATTGTGCGCAACCCCAGTTGCACTGTTGTCAAATACTACCTTCGGTCCTTAATATAAGGCTCTGTTTGACTTTTTGTTTGGTCCTAATTATAAGACTCCAATCCATTTTGTCTCTTATATTTATGTATTTTTTTCCAAGATAGTCTTTCTAATAATAATAGTTTTTGTCAATACACTTAATTAGCAAGGATATTTTAGGAATGACAACACTTATTTATTACAAATAACTAACTTAACTAACTTCCTTAATCTCCTCAAATAAGTCAACTGGGTCTTATAATTAGGACCGGAGGTAGTACTATAATAAAAATATTAATTTAGGAAAGAAGCATACTACCTTCATTTCTAATTATAAGAGTTAGTTGACTAATTTAAAAAAATTAAGAAAATAAATTAAATTAGTTATTTATAATAAGTAGGTATTGTATTCACTAAAATATCCTTGCTAATTAAGTATGTTGACTAGAACTACTATTATTAGAATGATTATCTTGAGAACAAATGCATAAATATTATAGACAAAGTGGATTGAGTGTTTTATATTTAGTATCAAAATAAAAATTAAACAAGGTCTTATATTAAGGACCGGAGGTAGTATTATATACTACTTTTGATCCTAAATATAAGAACTGGTTAACTAATATGAGTAGATTAAGGAAATAAGTTAAGTTAGTTATTTGTAATA